TTAAGCTCGAACGAAATCAAGCACACTTCAGGTCGCAGTCATAGCATTTTGATGTTTTTGTGTGCACAGAATTAATCAGTTTTCCGCTCTCAAGTTTCTCAGAAAGTTGATGCACTTCTGCATGATTAAGGACTAAGATTTAAGTTGGCTGAGTCCCTTTATGCCCTCTTTATGTCACTTGCGCACTTACAGCACGATGCTGCCTTGTGAGCGCACAATTTGCTTCAATTAAAAACCTTTGAGCCTACATCCCACACTTTCAGTTCTGTTGTGTAGGGACTTACTGCGAGTCATAAAGTGATCAGAAGGCTTCAGTAAGGCAAGATCTTCGAAAAGTTCAGCCATATAGGGGAATCATGGAATCAGTACCTAACACCCAACCGATTTATAAGTCAGAGAGGCAGAATTGCCCTTTCTACGATTTGTTTCCAATTTTTTTACGGATCTCACGGAAGAAATAAACTCCTAACAATGGTGCATTCATAGCACAGAATACATGCACACCATTCTACGCTTAAGAGGTACACATAGGGTACGAAGACTACGAATAAAATAGCATATTGGAACATTTACAATGCAAGTAATACTGTGGGAGAGGACGCGTAAAATTCACAGATTTTAACATTACGTAGATAAAAGAAAGGAACCGTCATGTTTATTTTCTTTTGCATGACGCTTTTATAAATCGCCCAAAACATTTGATTCTTTTAAAATCCCTTCGCCCCACCGTTTACGAACTAATATACGAAAGCATTGGAGTTCACAATGCGATAATGCACGTCTGCCGCCGAAGGTTAACTCACATTCAGGTCGCACTTTTGATTGGTCAGGTACTGGCCAATCAGTGCACGGGGCCGTTGCTTGCCGCATAATGAATCACGCCTTTTTATGACAAGAGCGACGTTTGCTGCGCCTTGCGAGTCAGGCCTACTCCAACGCCCACTGCGTCCTTAAAAGGCTCGGGCCGTGGTTCAAGGATAAAAAACGAAATCGCAGATAAATTTATGCGCCTTTTGCCGACTGAAGGCTCCACATGCTTATCCAAGTTTTTGCGGGGCAGATGTTTTTACCTGCACGTGCTTCTTCCAAAAAGTGTGGTGAAAAAGGCAGACTTCTGCCCTGGTTATTGAAACAACTTGGCGAGCTATGCTTTTTTTAATTCTTGAGCATCAACAAGGTTACTTTCACGGTGAACTTTTAGCACTGTATTCGCCGTAGCAATAGGCTGCTACGTCAGGGCAAAGTTCCCAGTGCCAGATTGAACCAAACATTGATGAGGTTCGCCGTTCTTAATCAGAAGATGCAACTCGGAAATTACTATTTTATACGCAGCATGAGTTTCTTGCTCTAGAAGTCCAGAAATACATTTTTGTGCCCAAACAGACTTAAACAAGTCTTTGTGAGTGATTGAAAGCTCAGTAAGGGATTCTACAGCTTGTAATATGGCACACTAAACTAGTGAGAACTGTGAAATCGCCCTCGATAGAGTTATATAAGATAGCTGTCTTTTGTAAGATAAATTCGTCCTCTTTCTCGCTCACCCCTTTTATTCGACCTTTATGCTTCACTTGCCTCGAAATGTTAACCGGCAGAAAGGCTCATTTCAAGCTTTATTGTGAGGAAGGACTAATGGACAAGAGCTCCCACGGAAGCATGGTCAATTTTCATCGTGTTTATTAACTTTCATGTTGACTCTGTAGACAAAATTGGATAGAGTTTTATTTGGTTCGGGTCAAACCACCGAAAAACTAGTCTTTGACCGGCTGGAGAAAATCTACCCTGATTTTGATTCCTTTATCCTCCTCTAGCTTTCGTTTAACGAATCTGTTCTCATAGGACTGTCTCGCAGATCTGCAGCTCGTTAGGGAAAAAAGATGCGAATTAAAACTACTGATGGAAATTAAACCTCTCCCGTTGCACCTATCTTTTCTGAGAGGCGGTCCAAGTAACGACACGACGACAGTTCGATTGCTGCTCCCAATAATGTCCACAACGAGCCTCAGCAGCCTGAAGCGACGCGGTGACTTCCGCGAGAAAAACAGTGAGAGCAGACTCGCGGAGAACCTAGTCCACTCCCACACCGGGACCCGATGCGAAGACAAAGCCAATAAGGCCGAGGGAGGGTGCAGGCGGCTGGCGGGACTAACGGTCAACACGCGTACCAAC